GAGATCACGCAGAAGAATGATCAGGCGATTCTCACCCATCGAGCGGTGGCTGTTAGCAGAGCCTAAAGGAAGAGCAGAAACTGTTGCATCGGCACCCTCAATAAAGTCATCAAAAGTGATGGCTGCGGCGGTGTGTGTACTCTCAGGCATCTGTGGGCTTGATTGTTTGTAGAGAGTGTCCTCCATGACTACAAGCACCTGAGCGTGAATTGGCAACAGACCCGGGGCCAGGATACGTTTTGGTTTCTCTATATCTGTCGGCAGAGCATCTGCATAGAGAATGTGAATATACTTGACAAAGACAAAGAAAAGATCTGTGTCTCGACCACACCACCTCGAAACCCAAGGGCTTTGCCACTGTATCTGAGCTGTACTCAAGGGCACTTCGGGCTTTTGCCGGAGATATCGAACGAGAGGCGTGTGGGAATGGAAGCATAGCGTCCGGAGCGCGCTAGGAAAGTTTAACCCAAGATCCTGGGTGAAAGCACGAATGTTCCTGCACCGTTCTACGCCTGAATCGGCAAGGATTCGTCGGAAGATATTCGCGGGGGTGTTCCATAAGCGCACGAGAATATCTGCCACGCCAGGACAGAAGAAGAAGGCGTATGCGCAAGCCTTTCCGCAAAATGCTACCAAGCTAGCAGGTGCATGCCTCATTGACATTCTCTCCACCACGAAGGCCATCTGAGACAGCAAATTCTGTACAAATATATTCCTGATGTTGTGATGGATTGACTCGATCAGGAAATCCGAGCCTGAAGAATCAGAGCTCTCCGATATCGAAGTCGAAGCATGATGGAGTGAATTGGGCGGCTCATCCCTGTTCGGGACCATTGGGAAAGGGATTCTCCATTCCGGCCGCATCATGATGCCAACAACCGCCTCTAGGTAGACTGGACGGTCAGTACCCGAAATGGATTGATTGTTCTTGCCATTGAGCATCTCCAGTAACCCGGTCCACCACTTGTTGAGAATATTGACGCGGCGGTCCAGATCTTCAGCTCTCAGAGACTTATAGGAGGCACGTGATTGGTTGCGATTCAAGAAGGGCAGCAGTGAAGAACGAATGACGTTGGCTTTCAGAGCACTCGACTTGGAATGGAATCTGTGTCGTTTAATTAGCCAACTGAAGCTCGACAGAGAGTGGTTCATATCGGCGCCCGGCATGACCGTACTCACTTCTGATAATCAGCTTCGAGTCCACGGAATACGCCCCATAGCTCATCCTTCTTTCGAGGAAGGTCAACATTTCTAGAGAAGTTTCCGGCGGTAACAGCTGCTCCTTTGGGCATGGGAGGGAGAATCGGGGTAGAAACATGGAGAGATGCGGCAAGTCTTTCCAAGGAATTCTTCGTCCGTAACGAATGAGGGGATGAACTACTGGGGGTGCTCGGACTGTCGTCTTGGCTTTGAGTCACGACTGCAACCATTGGACGCCTGGGGCGTTTGCTCAGAATGGTGCGTTTGCGAGAAGGCAGGACAGAGTCGGTCTCCTTCACTGACTCCAGTCGAGAGTTGGATTTGGATGGTAGACCCTGCGACTTCGACGGTGTCTGATCATCCGAGCGGGAATTTCGGGCCTTGGAGGGCTTGGGAGACGGCGAAGGGGATCGAGACTGGGAGCCCGACGAGCCCCAGGGTTTACGAGCTAGGTTAACCAGTCTACCGGACATGGAACGGGCCTTGGAGGGACGAGCGACGGGCTCCGGGGCTTTCGTCTCTGGATACTTGACAGGAGGTTTCGCGGACGCTCCGGAGGGTTCGGAAGCAGCGGTATCGTTCAGGTCCTCGGTAGACAGGGTGAATCGAGAGATGGCCACGCCCGACTTTTCCTTGTTGCGGCGTAAAGAGGTCCGTCGCAGAATGTCCTTCCCGGCAGCCACATCCTCCTTCGACGGCGAGGCTGAATCATTTGGAAATGTCAGGTCGGAAAAGGTCCTCCGCAAGCCGGGGGACCCAGGTTCAGTAACCGGAATATCTGAAAGGTTGTTGTAACTGGCGGCACGAGAAAGGAAAGCGCTTTCTTCATCGATCGGATTGGTCGGAATATCGACAGCGAGAGAAGACATGATCGAGTGTATATTCAATACTGTACTATAGGTCCACGAGGAGGTATCGTCCGAGGGCTGTGACCATTGCTCTCGGTTCGGAAAGTTGAATGACAGCTTATCTCGAGGTCGGATGAGACCAGCTCCTCCATGCAAGAGAAAAAGAGATAGGGCAGGGAGAGGACAAGAGACGAAGGGTAGAGACTCGTTGTCTGAGCTCAAACCATGTGCAAAGAGGTTGGCTCTACCGCATTGGGGCCGGCTGTATGGTTCTCAAGGGGACGGGGGAGGGCTGGGAAGGCGACGCAGCAATGGCTGAGCAGGAAGGTGGTAGACAGGCAGACCAACGAAACTCGGCGGGCTGAAGATTAGCCAGACGAACACGTCAGGCCAGGATACCTCGATCCGACTATGATGCTAATATGAGCCTCCTTTTCTTTTTCTGGTCAGCTTGTTATGCGCTGTCCAGCGATAGTATGAACGTGAAAGGGAAAATTGAGCGAGTGGTAATGCGGGCTGAACGAAGGAGGCTGCGCGGTTAATCGATCAACAAACGAAGATTCGGAAGTTGGAGATAAACGAAGGACCGGGGAACTAGGACTGATAAGGCTTCCCCTCTTGCTGTCAGACTCTGATCTATTTTCCTTCTTCAGGAAAAGATAGATAGACAAACTGACGCTCAATGGAAGAGGGGGAAAAAGGGCTGAAGAGGCTCTAGTGAAGGAGATACCTAGTGATGATGACGATGGGGAAAGGGTTCGTATTTCGGTGTACCCGCGTACCAAAGAGGTGGGACTTGGTTTGTATTGAATCAAACGGGGGCCCTAGGGTGCCTTGTGGGTTTCAGAATCCAAGGAGGAGCTTATGATGGGGATTTCGAAGTTGAGGAGAAATGAACAATAGTATTTAGCTGGATAAGGATTGTTCTTGTTTTCTTGTCGAAGAAAGGTTGTATGGCGTATGATACCTATTATTGTGCTACTGCTACCTACTATGTATGGGATACCTACTATGCATTATTGTATGCACATAGTCCGCTAGACCATAGGTAGATAAGATTACTTGGTATTATTAATATTCTAATTTTACTTATCGATTATTTTGTGATAGCGTCAAGTAGCATAACTTACATTCTTTGCAGTATTTACGTACCTAGGTACTATACCTAGGTACCTGTACCTAAGCTCTGGTAATTTACTGATATAGGTGCTCCGTAAGGTACTCCATCAGGTACTCCTAGATAATTTGGGTACGTACCCAGTCGCATATTTCTGCCTACCTATGCACATTTTTGTCGAGCTGAGCCACTTTTCCCAATGCTAAGACATGTCTCGTATTATTCCCTTGATGACTTGTCCACCCAAAAAAGGGTCCGTTTCCTGCAGATGCAAGGCTGAGATGGATCTTTAATCCAATAGTCTGTCCCCAGTTAGCGATGATCAATAGTATGCATGCCGCCATGACATGCTCGCAGTGGTGGTTGGATTGGAGACTCAACCGACCAGGCATGGTACAATAATCATCTGTATAACTACCTTAACTAACATGAGCTGGGCTCCCCCACGCATTAAACGCAGACATAAGAGGATAACAGGTAGAAAAATAGAGCCAGAACCACCATGTATAAATGGGTCTGCTCATCCATCGATACAAAATCGCCCATTTAACATTCGTACCTCATCATCAATGCTCAACATCAACACTTTATGATGAATGGCTGCCTAGTCTATTATCCGGAGCAAATCTACTCAATCTGATCGTCAAGAATGTTGTCCACTGTACTCACAGTGACAGGCGTCCCATGAACATTCCAATCAGAGTATGTCCTCCTCATCCGATCTTTATATGTTTGTAACATTAAGTAACCCCTTCTTGCCTTCTCTCTGTCCGTGTACCATCGCCCCAGGAGGGATTGAAATCGATCGCTGCACGTAATGCTACATCCTAAACTCTTTTACGTAGCTTCTAGGATCGTCCATCTATTGACAATGCAGGATCCACCATGGCGCAACGTAGCATCGATAACCTCTCGCTTAGCACCGATCTAGAAGGACTGGAAGACCGACTTGCGGCCTTCAAGACAGCACCAAGCCAAGCCAGCGAAACCGAGCGAACTCGAGATTCTTCTCCGGAGGACAAGATCTGGCGGTCTGATATTTCCAGACGTCCAAATTTTATACTTTCTGGAGCTGTCATATGTCGCCATGCGCCTGGACATCAATACTCGAGATTATCGGCGGAGCGGCGTAGGCATTTTGACCCCCCTGCGTGGGAGGCAAGAGCCAAAAGAGGTAATCAGAGTACATACTCTTGCATTGAACGACGGCAACGGACACGTTATGCTGTCTGTATTACGAATCGCCCTGCATGTCTTTTTCGATAGCTCAGTACGTCCTTGGAAGGGAATCTGGCTACGAACTTCTCCTGTAGCTAAGGGTAGATGGCTTTGATTCTTTGCTTCCATCTGCTCGTCCAGCAATTAGACTCAGTACAGGTGCGGAAACAGAATTAAAGACAAGATTCATAAGCGGCCATTCAGTTCCTGAAGGAGTTTTGGCAATTTTGGGGCCATGAATACCGCGCCCGCAGAACACTCAGTAATACAGCGGTGAGCAAGATGGAATCAAGCAACCTCAAGCGCATATATGAGCGTTATCTTGAGCCTGAAACCACAAGGTGAGAGTCGGTCAGGTCAGTCGAAATAGCCTGTTCTCCTAAAACATGCCTTCTCCGAGCACACTACAACCACACTATCACATCATTGCCCCAGGGAAAGATCCCTGCGCATATTTGCTTGCAACAGTAGAAGAAAGGAAGAAACAGGTTCATATGATCCGAAGTAGGTTTAATTTACAAGATTTCCTCAGGACTCATCAATGGAAGGTTTTCTCTTGTTCCCATCCCATTGCCCATCAGCCCTGATTTCTCAGACTTTGCCAGAAAGCAATAAACCTAGTGGTGAGCGGTCTCCTCCTCAGGCTCCTCCTCAAACCAGCTCTCTTCAACAGGAGCGGCCTCACCGGCGGCGGCCTGGCCCTCAACCTCAACATCCTGGCTCTCGTAGGCCTTCAACTCATTGGCAAGGTTGGCCTCCTCGGGGGACTGGGGCACAGCAGGAGCAGAGAACTTCTGGACGTGGGCCTCAGCGTCGCCGGGCTTGATGGGGGTGGGCTTGTAGGCCTGAAGTTGGCGCAGGTAGAGCTCCTGAACGGGGTCGGCTAGAACGAGTATCCGATGTTAGACAGTCCACAAACTCCATCATATACAAGAATTGCCCTCATTTGTTCACATAGAATAGACCAAGGGGATAATCGATCGGGACATACCCTGACGGACAGCGGAGGTCAGGAAGGAGCGGCGGGTAACAGAAGAAACCTGTTGCCGAGAGACGCGGGCGAGCAGGGAGCGCTAATCAGAGAGCAATTAGCAACCTTATTTTCCTAAAAACATTCTCCTACAGATGGGACGGATTTACCGAAGCTCTGAGAGTCTGAGACATCATCGCGGCGGGGTGATGAATGAGGGGAGAACCTGGGGATGGGGTTTCTTGCGAAGAATAATATGGCTTTGGTCCGTGAAGCCGACGTTGAACGTTCGATGGATTCTTCGGGACACTTCGGCTTGGCGGCTGACTCAGCAACCATGCGGCTCTTACTAACCACTCCAGTCGGCGGCGGCAACACTTCTTGACTTCACCTTTGCCTCTCCACCTCTCTCTCATCTCTCGGCTCACCCCTTTTGACTCGATTCAACAGATTGCAGTCAATCGGGACAAAGTGAAAATGGCTAGTGTTTCTACCTCTGCCCGTCCTGATATGGGCCAGTGGAGGAAGAACCTCTCGGCCCATGTCATCTGTCCCGAGTGCAGGGAGGTCCCGCCCAACCTCGAGTTTCCTGACTCACATGAGACAGTCTGCGGCTCTTGTGGTCTGGTGCTTGCTGACCGAGAGATCGACATGCACTCTGAATGGCGTACGTTCTCCAACGATGACCAGAATAACGACGACCCCTCGCGTGTCGGAGATGCCACAAACCCTCTGTTGAACGGTGACCAGCTTGAGACCCAGATCGCCAGCGGAGGCTCTGGTCGCGCGCGAGAACTGTACCGGGCACAGAACAAGCAGTCGAGCGAGAAGGCGAACAAGGCTCTGTTGGCCGCCTACAAGGAAATCGGGGCGCTGTGCGATGGTTTCAACATTCAGAAGAACGTCGCGGATACGGCCAAATATCTTTTCAAGATCGTGGACGATGCCAAGGCGTTCAAGGGAAAGTCGCAGGAAGTCATCATCGCCGGCTGCATCTTTATTGCTTGCCGCCAGTGCAAAGTCCCTCGGACTTTCACCGAAATCTTTGCGGTCACCAAGGTCACCCGGAAGGAGATTGGTCGAATCTACAAGGCTCTTGAAAAGTTCTTCACGGCTCAGAACCTGGAACGGATCAACGCCGTTGTGTCCAGTGGTGGTGTCCCAGACCCGAACGACACCTACACCGCGACAACTTCAACCAAGCCCAGCGATCTCTGCAACCGTTTCTGCAACCTCTTGGATCTACCGTACCAAGTTACGAGTGTATCCTCTGCTCTTTCCGATCGTGTGACGACTATGGGAGACCTCGCTGGACGGTCGCCTCTGTCGATCGTCGCGGCTTGCATCTACATGGCTTCTTATCTTATGGGCCACGGCAAATCCGCCAAGGAGATCTCCCAGGTTGCACACGTCAGCGACGGTACCATTCGCGGCGCGTACAAGCAACTCTACGCTGAACGCGAGCGCCTGATCGACCCCGAGTGGATCAAGGACGGAAAGGGCGACATGAAGAACCTGCCTGCTAGCTGAACGGCTACAGGCTTCTTCTCTTTTCCGAGTTCTCTAAGAATTCAAACCCCATGCGTTGCTACCTAGCGAGAAGCGTAAACACTTGTCCAATCGTTAGCTTTCGCGTGTTGTCATCTATCAATATCTCATGATACCCCCCCGCACTGAACATAAAGAAACAGCTTGTTCGGCTCGTTTATTAACTTGCATTTTCAAAGAGATTTCAGGTCATACCGAGCCAGAAAAAAATATTCGCATCATCTGGAAATTCCACATGCTTCGTTTTTTAGCGAGCGCTGTTCAGATTGCTAAACCGGCCATGCGCATAATTCGCAGCCACCGGATGCTTTTGCTGTTTGCTTCCATGCATGTGAATCTTCCTAACTTCCAAATTGAAAATGTAGTAGTCTCGGCATTCCGAGTCGAAGCAATTCAGGACGAGGATCTGAGAATTTTGCGGCGCAGCAGCATTGACGAGTTTTAAGGGCAAATTCGTCTAAATTACAAGTTTCTGTCACTATGTCTCCACAGCTAGGCCAGAATAATACAGATTCAAGTCTCCAGCTACCTGCAACGGCGTTTATTGTTGTTACATGCCAGTAGTACTAGCACTATTCCTAATTGTAAAATGAAGGTATCATCCACTCATGATCGGATCCTGGTCAATGACCAACATCATGAGCATTCCAGGGCGGAAGGAGTCTACATGAATGCTAGACGAAACTCATTTTGCTGCTGTCTCAAACTGACTAAAGAACGATGATATCAAAAAGGTCATAAAGAAGAAGATTCAATTGACCAAAAAAAAAAAAAAAAACGAAAGCAAGTGTTTTCACTGCTCCTCAGCAAGCACAGAGCCTTCCGACGCCTTTTTCCCGTCAGCAGTAGCAGCCATGGCTTCAATGGTGTCATCTACCGGAGGCGATGTACTAGGTTTGATTCCAGACTGTGCATCTGAAGACGTTTGCTGTACCTCGTCCGGCTTCGAGGGTTGCGCAGCAGACACAGCCGCAGCCTCCCCATCGGTGCTTGGTATCGTCTCAGCTGCCTTGGGTGCAGATTCCTTGGCCGCCGCCATCGAGGAAGGATCAGTGGATTCGCCGGCAATGTTCTTTGACAAAGCTGGGGCCATGGTGTCCTTCGAAGTCGAGATTTCAGGTGCAGCCGGCTCAGGCTGGTTGGCCTTAACTCCGGTTTCGACGGTCAGGTTGCCATCCTCACCAACTTGCCAAACATTCCAAGTCTCGGTGATCTTGATTTCGGGAATAGTCGGTAGCCTTGTGCTAACGTTCTCGGAAGCTGGCTTTCGCCGGGAAGGACCACGAGCTCTACCCTTGCGAGCGTCACTCAGTGGTGCCTTTTCTGCCGGAGCTTCCTCCTCCTTCTTCTCTTGGGGCTTTGGCGCTTGGGGACCCAGCTGCAGACGCGAATTTAGATCTGACAAGAACCCTGCTTTAAGTGCAGCAATCTTGCTTCCGTTGGGCCGAACGGGCACGGCTGGTTTTTCTTTGGCTGGAGCTTCCTCTCCGGCTCCACGGCTAATAGGCTTGGCTGGTCGAACAGGAATCTGTGGCTTGGGTCTATCCGGAAGGCTGGGCGGCTGTCGTTTTTCTGTTGGAGAGGTTGCTGGCTTCAAGGAGGCATCTACTGCAGGAGCCTGTTGTGAAAGCTTCGGAGGGCGAGATGGGATAGCGGGTTTCGATGGTACATCGGGACTCTTCACCTCACTCTCCTCCGAGGGCTCGATTGTCGTCACGAGTCTCTGGCTCTCAGGTACATCTTCCCAGATGTCTCGACTGGGGAACCGCTGTTTACAAATCTCAGGGCGCGGTTGAGTCTTTTCTTTTGATTCTTCGGACTCAAGGATGTGTTCTGCGACCTGGTGAGGGTCAAGGTGAGGAGCGTGACTGCGGCGGAACGACTCCTGTTCCGGCGTCTCAAACGCCTCGTGCTTAGGAATGTCCGGTGTGGAAACGGTGGTATGAAGCTGCAAACTGTTGGGAGAATCTTCCCAGATATCTTCGCTTGGAAATCGGTGCTTGAGCATTTCAGGGCGCTGCTTGAAGCGGTCCGTAGCGGAAATGGGCTTCTTGTCCTTATCATCCTCGGGGAAGAGCGGTTCGTACTCCTCCACGTCATCAAGAGGCGTGTGTGTCTCTTCACGTTCGTCGCGCGAGTTGTATCTCACGAGAGCGGGCATGCCACCCTGGTGAGTAGCAGAGCGACTATTTGAGCGACTGTGGTTAACGCTAGGAGTGCGACTCCTGCCATCATAGTCGCTAACCCGTCTATCGAACGCGGGAGAGATGGCAGGATGTTGAAAAGCCGATTCTGGGCGGACTTCATCGGCAGCCAGAATAGGTTCATCTTCATCTTCAAGACCCACGCCCGCTTCACGGGATTGTTCTTCAGGGGCTGGGGTTGGTGCGAAACCATCCGGATGATGAAGCGGGTGGTATGGGTCATCGACATGGATAACACCAGCGTCTTCAGACTTGCCCCCCTCTCGCTCAACGCCAGCCTCTGCAGCGGGGACGTCCGCGTTACGCAGGTGGGACTCGCCGATTAGGCGCGAGCTGCGTCGCGATTCGGGAGCCGGCGTCGCCATACGGTGGGTGTATTCATCCGTGGCAATATAACCGACCTCCTCATCTGGAGTACCCGCAACATTGGGGGAGGTACCAAGACCAGAGCCGGTCACAGCAGAGCTACGGACGATCTTGTTGAGATCATCGCTGCTTAGTGCCCAATCCGGGCGGGGAGTCCCGACGCCAGGGCCATATTGCCCGTGTTCGACCTTGACGTACTCGTCGGGATGCTTTTCATACCAAGCCTTCTCAAACTTGTCGGTGGCAGGCACACCATGTCCATGGAGTCCATAGCTTCCAGGGGGTAAGGAGGCCTCACGGCCGCTGCGAGTTCGGTGATGGTGGCGTCCCTGGCGTTGACCTCCGTGCTCCAACTGATAGGGGCTTGGAGACGGTGCTTGCACATCACCGGCATTGGGATACATGGGAACTCTCTGACCAATTTCAGGAATTCCGTGCTCGTCAGCGGTAAGTTGGAGAGAGCGTCGACGATCAGAGGATGCGGTGGAAGAGTCTGCGCGCGAGCCACTTGCTCTGGAGTGAAGCGAGCGACTAGAGCGCTCGTGATGGTCATCAGGCGCCGGCGATCTAGACAGACCGAGACCTGCAGCAGCGGCCTGACGCGAATCTGTACGAGTGACAGCCTGCACCTTCGCCTTGGCGCTCGAACTGGGCAATGATGGTCGGGGCGCATGGATCTTGAGATCACTGCCCACATTCCTGGTCTCCGCCGGAGTACCAATTTGGTGATGGCCATCTGACACATTGCCAATGTCTAGGTTCTGGTATTCGATACCCTCTTCTCCAAGTGACGGTATCGTCACACTTGGGGGTCGCTGTGGAAGGTCGTTGGACACGGAACGAGTCAATCCCGCAGCGTTCGGAGGTTCGTTCAATGGAGAAGGAGCATAGCTGTCCCGAAGAGGAGACACGGAGCGTTCAACGCGTCTATTGGGACGAGGAGGGATCTTTGGCACGTCTGATATCGACTTGGGGTCAAGACTCGACTGAGGAGACCTCGATGGTCGAGGAGGAATGACGGGGGCTGCTTGTGTCGCCATGATTCTCGTAGGGATATGAAGAACCTCAAATTAATGCTAGAAAGTAGAGCTTCAGACCTGATGTTAGCTAAGGTTTGATCAAGTGCTGGGGTTGAAACTTGAAGGCGTCAGGCTTCAGGAGAACAGATGATAGCGGGCAGCTGTGCTAGCTAAAGAACTTCCCCGCACCTTGGGCTGCAAGACGGAGATTGAGTGGATGGTGGATTGCATCAACGGTTCCCAATGTGCTTGGTTGCTCTAGGGCCATTGAGACAAATCCATGGGATGTTCAATGGGTAGGCGCCATTGAAAAGGGGAGACTCCAGTAGTAGGAGTCACAGGCTTGAGATAAGACAGATCTAGCAGGCCGCTGAGCTGATAACGCTCTTGGCTTTGCCATGTGCAAGCCCACATAGAGATCCCAACGTTCCCCGATGAACCAGAGCAAAATAGGCAGCCATAGCAGGGAATATAGAGGGGACTGATAACATCATGCAGCATCATTTGCTTACCGATTGTGGACCAATTCCAAGAACTGATTGCTAAACCGGCTCAAGCTTTTGGAAGATGAGCGAATGGAAGGAAACAGAACAATTGGCGAGCAGACGGCTTCAGAGATTATTTGATGGGTAGATGGGAGTGTAAGGAGAGTGAATGCAGAGAATTCGGATAGGAGGAGATGTGGTGATGATGGTGGAGAGAAAAGAAGCAGCAGCAGGAGTACTAGAGGCACATAGTAGCAGGCAGATGATGTATGACTTTTTGCATGGCAGAGTGGCCGTAAATCCAGCCTAACCGCTTTCTTCCTGCCATGGCCCACCGCCCCGTCGCGTGACGTTCTCTGACGGCATCAAAACGCTGGGCCCCCGCTGTGTCTGGCCCTTGTGGTACAACACTGTTACAAAACAGTCTGGTAACAGAACGTGGGCTGTAAACCACTCAAAAGTCGTTCGTTGCAATTGCGGGCGGGTACCTCAGGCTCATTTGCTTTCCATTTAAGGGTTAGTGGACCTCCCTTCTCTGATCTTCCTTTTTTTGGTTTTTTTCAATGATGATGATTCTCAATGGGTGGACACTGTTGGGCACCTTGTAAATTTTCTATCTGCCACCCAAGAATTGGACTGAGATCTCTTCTAATCCTTTACATACATTTAGCTATGTAGGATAAAGAACATGTGGAATCTATGTGGTCAAGGACTCCGTACCTGGAATTTTGCCAGGTACAGGGTACAAGTAAGTAGTACTCCGTAAGTTGGGTTGATACAGCGGGAGTAAATGCCTCAGGTCTCTGGAGTGACTTTTGTGCCAATCATATTCAACAATCCGGCGTGAGGGATATACCGATGCAGTAGCTGCATAATAAGCGGTATCACCATATCTTGTTAATCTGAGGCATTTTAACATTGCTCGATATCTACATGGGTGGATTCTATCAAATACAATTCTTGCATCTTCAGACCATAAAATTGAGCATTCTCATGGACTCTATCTGAGGACCAGAAGACCTGATCTAGCGAGTCTATTATGGGTAAACCACCCATAGATAGAAAGTCACATTGGAAGGCTAATCTGTTTGTCACCTCCTTTCTCTTTACTATTCAAGAAAAATCCCTCTGTCTCCTGACCCCAGAAAAGCGATAAAGCAGCTGTGGGTCGGACTAGACCATGGCCGAAAAACCATAGTCGTCAGTACGGGTACATGTATCCTTACGAAGTTACAAGGTACCTTACCCAGTGGGGCTCACCTGACCGTTCACACTCATTGAATGAAACAATAGAATCCTTCTCTTGTGGCTGTGCGTACTCTAGTTCTAGACAATGATAATAATGAGCCGTAGGCAGTGACTGCATTAGCCTGAAAACATCAATATCTTCTGCTCTGGCAACAGAGCTGGTCTCATTGACAACAGATATACGGTGTGCCTAGCTGGCCCTAATAGTATGAAAGCATGCGCTCTCTTTAAAGTCTGTATGGCTGTTGCTGCCGAGGCGGTGAGCATCTCAGAATTTAAGCACTCCATAGTAGGATTGCATCATGCATCAGCATCTTTGTCCTGATGGCCATTCATGATACCACCTGTCGGTTTTGAGTGAATGAATGGACGATTTGGACGATTCTTAGTATTCTATATCAACCGACTGACCAGTCCATGTTGTCTTTACTCAAATGGTAACCTCCAAACCCGAGTTATTTATGCTTGTTCCTATTTCTGGCCCTTTGAGTTTGAATCATTGGCCTCTCAGCTTGTGGGCCCAATGCCTGCAACGGATCCACTCCCAGCCAATCTCAGCACTGACATAACAAACAGAGAGCAACGACGATAACCGCCACACAGTGTGGACCTCCTTTAAGGGTAATCAGATTACACAAGTACTGGGGTGCAGTGGCTGACCACCAAGGGTAGAGAGAGATCAGATGGAGATCACATCATTGCAATCTTCTTGTTCATGGATGTCCATAGACGATTCTAGGCCTCTACCTATCTACGGGACTGATTGAAATTCTAGTATCCCAGGCACCTCATGTGTACTTCTTTCATTGCACTGAAAGGATTGTCAAGTCTTTCATTGGGGCGCAAATCCTGATTCTCTGCGCCCTATGATCACAGCTAAAACTCAAGTCTAACAGACTAACGCAGTCTGGCAAACAAGCATGCAAGCATTAGATTTCCTCTGATTAGAACACGAGGAATGGGCCGGCCACTTGGCAAATGCATCAACACGGACATTGACATCTTACAGAGCACAGTCGAGGCACTGAGCGTCTGTCCTGTGCTTGTGAAGACCTCCAATAGGAATACATTAATCTTCATACACACCCGAGTTTCATTTTCGACCTCCTCGAGCATAGGATACTCCGTATCCGCAGTAAGAGTACGACCGGAATCACCATATTGTCTTCAATTCCAGCTCATAACTTCCCAGTTAGTGGTCCTCAAAACGCGGGGTAAAGACTTCTCCTCTGGTGGAGGGGTGAATGACGTAAAGCGGGTTTTCTAGTACAGTCGATCGGCATCATTAACAGCCTGCCTAGTTATAATGTTCTAGCTAGGTACGGAGTAGTAGATAACGATATTCAAAGGAAAAGTGATGTGTGTTTGTGTGGTGTATGGCAGATTTACCAGGCCATTTACCTAGGCCCATGCAGGTCAGGGCACGGACACGGACACGAGCACAGAAGCCTGTAATAGAGACCAAATTGAACAGTAATCATATTCCTGGTTAGCAAGAGATACTTCGTTATGGTTCCTGCCTCAGTGAAAGGGAGCAATTAGAGAAAGGTTCTTGTGATATGCTCCCTTCCAAGGTTGTTAGTGAGACTGACATCTCAGTAACAGAAAAATATAAGCTGGCCTGCGGTTTGACTTTCCCATGGGTATAACAGTGGTTCATAGGAGCAAATTTATCACGCAGATATTGGCTCTTGTAGTGTAAGTTGATACTATTTTTTCTCAGAAACCGTTGCAGGATTGGATATATTCTCCTCTCTAAAGTAATTCATTCATCACCAGGATGCTAACAGGGTATTAAGTGGTATACTTGCACACGCGATATAACTCGCAGACTTTCGAGCCACGGCCGAGGATGAAAATCTGCGCAACAGTAAAGACACTTGCAAATTCAATCAATGCAGAAAAAACGAGTATGAAATGGGCATTCGCTCCTTCGACGTTCCCAACCTCAGACGAAACGGCATCCGCCAATCCAACATGAGATAAAAGTACAGGCCTTTTCAGGCAGTCATAATCATGGCGCATACACTGCGGGAATGATAGTTGTGATCCCTTTTTCTTTTCTTCCTCTCTCCTTCTGCTCTGGTGTGTATCCAATGCGGTTCAGGGAGTCCCGGGTAGGTACCCTATACTCCGAGAAACGACTTGGTTGAATATCTTCGTCAAACGATCATCTGGACAAGTCCCTGCCCACCAAGAGTCTTGCTGCCCACGAATTCTTGGCTTTTCAAGCCCGCCAAAGCATAGAATATGGCAGCGATCAGCAAGAAGACGGCCGCGACAATCAAACTGGATGCACCGGAGCCAGGGAGAAGACTAAGCCATTGAATGACACTCATGATGGCGTACATCGCAGCGCGCATCCAGTTGGTGGTGAAGCGCCGAATGAAGGCATCGAACTTGGAGGAGGTAGGGCAGATTCTTAGCAAGAAAGGAACTTCGATGAAGATGAGGATCAGGCCCGAGACACTGTGATCGTCAGCTCCACTGTCCAGAGCGTTTCTTAGTAGGACTGGCTTACAGGCATAGTACGCTGAAGATGATGCGCAAAACAGCAAAGGAGAATATATTTGCGATTCCGAGGGCGATGCAGAGGATGATGCACAGCACACCCGTCCTATCCAAGATCAAGTCAGCAGGCTTCCAAACCAGAACGGTGACAATTCGCGATAAACTATCGTCGCTAGAGATTCGAAATTCCATGCCGTGAACCCTTGGAAAGAGCTGTGGCAAACTCAAGCCGACCAGTGTGAGGAGGCCTGATGGTAGATTCAGGCAACCGCCATTTCTTCCTGACATGTTGTTTGGGGCCGCGCTCAACATCGATAAGGATCCAAGGAGAATGGAGGGAGAAGTAAAGGATGGGTAGCAAACCATTGTCCGTAGATACCTACACACGAATTAGATGATTAGCAATCTGGATCTTTCTTGCCTCTCGAACGTAAACGACGGTCACATACTGAAGTTTCTCGAGCGGAATTCCTCTGCCAATGTCATGGTGGATGATATAAGTGTATATTTGAAGGGAAAACAAGTATGTCTGTATACAGTAGGATTGTTTCACTGAGATGATTCGAAGACGGAGTTCGTGTGTGGGATGAAGACAGGGAGAAACGTTTGAATAGGTTGATTGTTGATGCTCAACAATAAACTGTGGCTGAGCAGATGCGATTGACAGGTGCGGGTATAAGCCAGGTTGCCAGATCGGGTCGATCCCATTCACCGCCCTCGGCAAAACTGGGTAGGCTAGGTCGAGAGGTATTCGACGTGCATAACCCCATCCAACCAACGTCAGTTATCTCAATCTTCGCAGAAGAGCCCCATAGAGAACGTGTGCTGGACATCGGAACTCTGTGTAGGCTCACGACGGTGTTTTTAAGCTCGCTATATCTACAGCAATGGAGCCCGTCGACTCCAAGCATAGCCGGGCTGTCTCCAGATGTAAGGACAACATAGAAGCTCGATATCTACTCCTTAAGCTGATATTTGTTTCTCTCAGCTTCAAGACCTCGTAGCTCGACAAGAGGGCCTTTAGATGAATTCAACGAGTGAGCTGCATTCTGATCTCCCGCAGCCACGAGGATATGCTGACGAGGTAGTAGCCCTCTCGGCTCAGCCGATGTCAATGAATCGTCTGCTTCTTTTGTACAAGATGCAGCTCAGACTGGGATGTACTCGGGCCACACTCTTACGGCATTAGACCCACTGGCGCCAAATGAGCTACCACCGGGCATGGAGAAAGACTTGTCGTATCTCCTTCGTTACGACGTCTATCATTCCCTGTCACAGATTGATATTCCACATCCACTGCGCTCGGAGTTCGTCACGCCAGCCCCTGATGAACTACTGAGCTCATCCTTGGGCAAAGTTGAGAAATTGTTGGCTGAGGGCCGCTTCCTACTTGCCGCTTATCTATGCGGAACCATCCTGACTTCTCGTTCTCTCTCACCAACTGATACCAAGCTGATCTTTGGACTTTTCTATACACGACTAGCATGCCTCGAACTGTCTGGAAATGCTATTCTAGCGGCGCAAGAATCAAAGGCCCTTGAAGACTTGACTTCGGCCTTTTATTACGTTGACTTCAACCTAGACGCGTCCGCGAAAGAAACCCCTCAGAAACCGTCAGTTCATGCCCGTCATATCGTACCATGGCCACTGCGAGTTCTAGCAGTGAGGCTCCAGAGCATCGGGTTTGGTGATTCTCGCCGAGGCATTGGCGGCCTGTACGAACTTGGCCTCGAGGCACGAAGGGAAATCATGCGAACGGACTCTACGCAATCGGAGCGAGAAATCTGGAGGGATAGATTGGCTGATCTCGGGATCAGAAGCGTGAATGCCTTGATCGAAATGGGGGATTTTGATGCCGCAAGGAGGTCACTGCACAGCCTGAAAATATCAGACTCGGAAGCCGCAATAAACAAGTCAAGAAAAGTGCTTCTCTTCTTGATGATTGGCGACATTGACGCTGCAAAGAAAGTGTACGAGGAAGCAGGCACGCCCAACGAGAGTATCCTTAGACCGCTCCTCAGCATGGCGGAAGGCCAGTACACCGATGCAGTGGCCGAATGGAGGGCGCTTCTCGAGAATGGCGAAGAGAACAATGATAAAGCCCTGATCTCCCAGAATCTGGCGGTCTGTTTATTATATACAGGACAGCTGAATGAGGTAAGTCGATACATTGCGGTCCGATATATAAAGCTGACGCTTACTCACAGGCTCGTCAAATTCTGGAGTCGTTGGTTGCTGCTAACCATTCGTTTGGCAGCTTGGTATTTAATCTGTCCACAGTCTACGAGCTTTGCTCCGACAAAGCTGGTATTCTCAAGACCAGTCTTGCCGAGTCTGTTGCCAAGCAGCCCATCTCAGGGGACCTCAATCTTGATCGGCCAAGTGCGGATTTCAAGTTGTGAGATTGAAGGACCTACCATTGATGTCCTGCACTAGGAGGGATACTAGAACACCATTCCTCTCGAACGCTATCTAATGGTCTAACCTTCTAATGATGACTGATCCAATGAGACATCTGACGCTCATGCTGTCTCATGCCAACCCCAAACAAACGCCATGGCCGTGCAATGCCTCAAATGCTCACTTTGACACCGGGGCGTGGGAACAATCGTTATGAATGAATCAATGAACCAACGCCTTGTCACGCGTTGTTCTTGACTGGTGCCACTCTGGGTTTAGGTTTCCGAATGACTACCTTGTCACCTTCAAGCTGCCAACCCAAGCCTTCTTTCTCCACCAATTTCTCCCAAGTCCACTGTCTCCCATCTCCTGTACAGCCTTGGACAATCCAACTCACGTTGACGTTGAGATAAGCACTGCCGACGGCTTTCAGCGCATGCCTCCGGACACGGTCCTCAGCCCAGTTGATCACAGCCCGCGTAGGTGAATCCACCTCGTTTCGGACCTGCCAAAAGGCAATCCAATTGTCATGCATCAGCGCCGCCAAAACACGGTCAACTACGTCTGACTTAAAGGCGTATTGAGTACGCGCGCGTGCACGCAGCTCGAAGGCAGAAATCATGTCCCGCTGCCGGCACGCATAGTCGAGGATCAAATATGATATGATGTCTTTCAGCTCCGAGTCGGGTAAAGGGTGAGAGGGTGAATGTAATGTTTCAAGAAGATAACGGAGAGATGGGAAATATGAAGGTGGATGCTGAGCGCGGATGGAAACTGTAACCGAAAATACATGGACCTGCTGCTGGAAAGACACGGGCACAGAGGACGCGGTGGCTAGCACGGCTTCCCGGAGCTTGCGGAGAGACAACAGAAGAGTGGATAATTCCGTAGCCGGCGGAGGACCAGTCTGTCCGGTCTTGTTGCCAGGCAGCTGGAGGCGAGACGCCGGTGGGTTTCTTGTCGCGTCTGCGGAAGCACTGATAGGAAGGGATGCGAAAGCCTCAATCAGATTTCCGGCATGCCGAGCACAAAACTCCATCCATCGATTTTTGATGCGCTCGAAGTATTTCTTTTGTTCCTTGTGATCTAGGAGCCTGCGAGGGATCAGCTCAATGAACAACTTCCCACCCGACGTGTCCTTCCGATCTCCTCATTGGACTTAATGATCACATACAGCCGATCACCTTTGGACACAAATCCCACCACCTCAAGAGGATCCCTGTCCTTCAGAGGCTTCAAGCGGCTTTCGGAGAATCGAGCCGAACGTGCTGCCGGACCCGCCATGGCTGGCAATGTGCCGTAGTGAAGAGCGGGATGGTGAATTGCGTCATGAGGGGAGATAACAGCTTTATCGCTGTCGTCTGTCCGTTATGATCATGGATCGTCAACTCGTGGAAGGTATTACTCCACTGGGCTGACCGCCTGTTTGATTTGTTTGCTTGGTTTTGCCTGTTTGCTTTGAGTGGGACGCCGAGGTTCCTGTTTTCCCCAACAGGACAATTCTAAGTGATTCCCAACGGTCTATTTAAATAAGAAACCTTTCAACAGCTGCTCCTGTCTTGAAATTTAATACTCATCCGTACTTGCCATCCTCTCAACTGATTTGTGGTTCTTCAATTCGTACTTTGTGGTGACAAACTTGTGTTGACCCACGCAAGCTTTTTCCACTACCCGCTCCTATACTTGTTTGCATACTTCTACTGCATGTGAAGAAACATGTCTGCTCGCCAACGTCGTCCCGCTAAGAGCTATCAAAATGGATCGAGTTCGTCTCAGTCTGCTGCTATAGCTGCTGCCGTTCTCAAGAAGCCGCCGCAGGTCGTGAAGAAACTTCTTCATTGGGACGACCTGCCGCATTGGCAACGTGATAATCACCACATCCACACGGGATACCGACCAGCCTCGTTCTCGTTTCTCGGGTCCTTTCAGTCTCTCACGTACCTCCACAACGAAACAGTCAACATCTATACTCATCTTCTGCCGTCACTACTGTCTATTCCCGCTGCGTACTTACTGTACCAAGAGCTTGTTCCTCGCTATGAGACTGCCACAAGGGCCGATATCATTGCCTTTGGTTGCTTCTTTGCAGGAGCTGCCTTTTGCTTGGGAATGTCGGCAACATATCATACCATTTCCAACCACTCCCCGCTAGTCGCTCGCATAGGAAATACATTTGACTATGTCGGTATCGTAGGCCTTATTGTGGGAAGTTTCGTGCCAAGCGTCTACTATGGCTTCTATTGCGTTCCAGCCCTCCAACGGCTGTACTGGACGATGATCTGCACTATTGGTCTTGGCTGCGTTATCGTCTCGGTTCTCCCCAAGTTCCGGACGCCTCAGTGGCGGCCTTTCCGCGCAGCCATGTTTGTTGGCATGGGTCTGTCAGCGGTGTTTCCGGTGATCCACGGGTTGCAAATGTTCGGGATCGACCAGATGACACGCCAGATTGGACTCAGATGGCTTCTTCTTCAGGGGTTCCTTTATATCTTGGGGGCTACAATCTATGCAGCTCGAGTTCCTGAACGCCTGCGGCCGGGCAAGTTCGACATATTGGGAAGTTCTCACCAGATCTTCCACATACTAGTGGTCTGCGCTGCTGTGGCTCATTTGACTGGCTTACTCAAAGCATTTGACTACCAACATAGTGGGATTGCAGGAAGCTGTCCGTTAGAGTCCAATTGACGTTTTGATTCGCCATCAAATCTGATAGGATCACACGCGCAAATGCATCACTCTTGAACAACATGTTTTCGGTTGACATATGTAGCCATTAACCGTATCAGTAGAGGAGATAAGTGACGCGTGCTGATGTTGGCTTCTCGTGGACGACGAGAGTTTCTGTCCAACCAACTTCACCCCTTGCTGACAGTCGGGGCATGCGGGAGCTCTTCCACGATGTGAATTGGCAAACTCAAAAAATGCGCTGCAAGCATAAAAGATGTTTCTGGAAGCATCACCTGGCTTCCATCAAGAATGGATTTGGCATGCTCACCGCTTGCTTTCCCGGCCACTCGAGCTGGACAGACGAATAGGGAGTCGTACATAGAAATCTCCAGCTCACATGGCATGGCTGTCATGCATCTCGGTGATCATCTCACTCTGAAAGACAGCAAAGTCATTGGACACAGTGACTGACGACACCAATGGCTCCGCTCAGCAGACGGCGGCTTCGCTAGGTAGAGTTTAATTACCATCGTCTCATCATCACGCCACTGGGTCTACCACGATGTTGCATTGAGGCTGCCCTCTTCAGGCCGCCATTGCCAAGTGAGAATGGTCACCGCTTAAAATCTCCCACCCTTAGCAAATCAGGTGGCAGCCAAGTCATCCGGCAACTGCCCCTTTGGGATCAGCTTAGTCTGGGCTCGTGGGACTACAGTAAGGACTGGTGACGATTGTTGGTCGCTCTTATGCGTGGGGGATCAGATGGAGCATTTGGGTTTCACAGCGGCTGACTTCGTATGCGGTTGCCGTCGGTTAGGGAATCCTGATACGGACAATGACTCTAAGTTCTGCATTCCAGTTATATAAGAGGGGCTTGGTTGGTTAAAGTCATCGTCTAAGGGTATTCTGCCTTCCTATCGTATCGGCGAGGTTGCTTTAGATGCTTGTCAGGGTTGGCCAACCCTGGATCGCTTATCCGGCGTGGGTCTCCTCACATGAGATATTGTTTCATAAGCCGGCAGGAATAGGTCAAATAAGTATCCCCTGACGGACAAAAAGCCTTGCCTTTGGATCCAATCTGCACAGATGTATGCAGGATCCCATCAACCTTCCGGCCACAGTGGAGACACACCCCGACTCCGGGCCGCTTGCGAGAACTGCAGACAATCAAAGGTGAAATGCAATCTTTCCGGAAAGAGTACCTGCATCCGGTGTCTTCGTCACGGGCTGCCTTGTCGATATCGACTCGCCAATCGGTCAGGAAAACCCAAGGGCAGCAAGAACAGAGCCACGCTGAAGAAGCTGGGACAAGTGCCGGACGAAAAGCCTATATTGCGTGCTTTGAAGGGAAAGCACAACCCGGACACCGTCATGGACAACCACAGCCACTCGATATGTGAAAGGTCCCGAGGGCTTCAGAGCAATGAGGAAAACGTGTGTTGCGGTCCAGTAAATCAGTTGGATAGATTGCTAACAAACGTTGCACAGTTCCTCGAGAGCCCTAGCAGCCAGGACACCGACCTCACGGCGGACGCCTCCACCTCCGCGTTTGCGTATTCTTCCTTCCAAGAGCCACTGCCATCTGCAGATCCGGTATATATGCAAGCCTCCATGTCACCGACCTTTCTTCAAAAGGAGTTCATCACCAAAGGCCTAACGAGCTGCCCCCTCGCAGTCCACATCCCCGATGCATCGCAACCGACATGTGGATGTGGTGGAACAGTGGTGTTCCACTTGAACCAGCTCAGGGACATGATGGCCAACGCCGGCCACCTGCGATTCGATCAGATTCTGCAGGGGGTCAAGGTAGCTCTGTCCGTCTGCCAAGGATTTCTGCAATGCAGAAATTGTCCAAAGGACAGCACTAGCCTGCTGTTGCCTATCTCTACGGTAGACTCTACACTGCAAATATTTGACTACTGGATATCGTACGGGCTGGCGGCGCAGCATTCAGCGGAGGTCGATGGTGCGAAGACGAGATATGGTGATTATGAAGTGTGTTCTGAGGAAAGTTGGTGGATCAGTCGCTTCCTGCTCCGTGCGCGACTCGTCCAGTACAAGGAGGTGTTTGCTGTACTGCAGGAAGCAATCGATGTCTGCCTCGGGTCGCCCTCCGGTCATCTCGGGCAAGGGCTGTACGATGAGAACCGCGGAGGAAGCTGTCTCAGTCAGATTATTCGGGGGTATGAAGCAACAGTGGAAGCTTTTTTGCGTTGTTTATCAGGGAATGATGTATGTCGTACTTAATTATATATTCACCCATAGCTACCTTGACGAAAGACTGTTGCTGTGATGTAGTAGTTCCCATTAGCAGTAACGGCTCTCGGCTTTGACGGGCCTCGGCAATCCAGCCGCTATACTTCTAGTTGGAGAGGAGAGCCCCCCTCACGCGTCAATATAAGTCTACCGGCACCTCATTTGTATTTCAGAAACACCTGCTTGCAATTCAATTCATATACAAAGTATATAATTTACAAACAAGATGGCCGCCCGCCTCGCCCAGGTCAACGCCCATCTCAACTACCCAGCTGGCCTCCTCGCAGGCAAAGTCGCCATCATCACCGGCTCAGGCCAGGGCATCGGCGCCGAAGCAGCCCGGCTCTTCGCCAATGAAGGTGCAAAAGTCATCGTCGCTGATATCGACGCTGGTCTGTCCCCGCACCTACTCTCAACTTGAATCTGAAGTCTAACACCCCACAGACAAAGCCACCGCAGTCGCCAACGCCATCAACTCCGCAGGCGCCGGGCGCGCCCTCGCCGTCGTCGGCGATATCCTAGACGACGCCTACATCACGACCCTCGTCTCCAAGGCGGCCGAGTTCGGCAACGGGAAGATCCATATCCTCGTGAATAATGCGGGGTTTACCTGGGATGGGGTGATCCACAAGGTGTGCATCCTCCTTTCCCCCTGCCCTTTCCCTTTTATCTTTGAACTAGTCACGAATGTTCCAGTAGATGACCGATAAACAATGGGACACGATGCTGGCGGTGCACAATACCGCGCCGTTCAAGCTCATTCGGGCCGCGGCGCCGTATTTCCGGGTGAAGGATGGGGAGGACCGGGTGATTATCAATATTAGCTCTACGAGTGGGATTCACGGGAATGCGTACGTTTGCCCTTTTTGAACCTAGGGCATATGGTCTGATGCTGATGGTGCTACAGAGGACAAGCCAACTACGCGGTCGCCAAAGCCGGGCTGGTCGGGCTGACCAAGACGATTGCGAAGGAATGGGGCCCGGCGTTTGGGGTGCGGGCCAACACGATTGCGTTTGGCTTCGTCAATACCCGGTTGACGGCTGCGAAGGAGGAAGGCGCGTTCATCACCACCCCCGACGGGACCAAGGTTGCGCTGGGGATCCCCGGGAAGCAGCTGGCTGGGCGCAAGGGGGACGAGAAGCAGGCGTATCCGGATATTCCGCTGGGACGGCCGGCCAGTCCCGAGGAGGCGGCGAGGTCGATTCTGGGGGTTTGCAGTCCTTACTTTTCGTATGTGAGCGGAGAGACGATCCGGGTGACGGGAGGTCGTAATACGTGATGCTATGCTTGGTTGCTTGTGATGGTACAGATATACATACATACAGTGTGGTATCAAATCATATCGAGTTATATACAGAAAAAGTGACCTCCCTGCTGGCGAGTGTCCAACACCACTTAGTGAGTAGCCATGCTGCAGTTCATGAGCGCCTTGACGTGGCTGACGCAGGGAAATAGAGACAACACCAACGTGCTCCGTCTAGTTCCACGTCAGCCTATGTGTGCACAACAGTCAGTTGATTGGCACGACGTGCTGACGGTGCTGACAAGGCACACTGGCCGCAGTCTAGCTGATAAGCGGCGTCCGCATGCTAGATGTAGAGCGCAGAGCGTAGGACAGGAAGTCACGGCAGGATGCATACAGCAAGTGAGAGGTGCAGGGAAAGTCATCAAAAGTCTATTGTATAGGTGTAATGATTCCAAAAATGGACGAGCCTGATCGGCTGATGAGCTGTGCACAATCTTACACCCACGTAAGAATGAGAACTTATCCTCCAGTCCAGCAGAGACATATCTCCAAACCTCCAAAGTCGCTCTAACCAAGCGTAACTAAACGGATCACTGTTTCCTCCCAATGCTTCCGTGGTACATCCATGCCACTGCCGTCGTCCATATTAGACTCCATGGCAGAAATGAACAAGATAAAAAATCAGTACAGGAAACGCTCCTCTGACCCGGGGTATTTCTTTTCTTTCAGAAAAAAGCTCTTCAACTCCAACACCATAACACCAAACCAGTCACATAATGAAACACAAGTCCGACGAGAGATGTATCAAATAACCCAAAGATCCACCCGTAAATAGTGACATATTAATAAAACAAAGCGAAAGTGTGCAGTGAAAAAATCCCGGAACTCAGCGGATCCTATGCTGACTGGCGGTCCACCAGATGATCCGCGCGGAGATTACCCAGGAGTCCAGGGAAAAAATGATCCAAGATTAAGGCGTATGTCCAGAGAAGGGGGAAAGATGCGAAAAGAAGGGGAATGAAAACTGGGGCCGTAATAAACGTTGTGGGAATCCAGTTCCTGATGTTGAATAGATGGCGTAAATCGTTAAGGTTGCATTAATTTGGTTTTGTCCACTTTCGTCCCGCCATCATACATTAGCAGACGCATAGTGCCTGATGACCCGGCTGATGGACAACGACGGCCTCCGAGATGTCCTTGCATGTTAGGGAGTCCATAGAAAGGTCGCCCTGACAGTCCGCCTCCGGCTCATACTCCACGGAAGACATCGATGGAACGCTGTCCATGTCGGTAAATACTTCCGTGTAGCAAGAGCTATCGGATGCGGCAGACTCCGAGTAATTCGAGTAGTGAGACGAGTCTGAAGAGGATGTCGATTGCTGCGTGTTGAATGTATGCACAGAGACAGGGACCTGTGGCCCACTGATGACGTCGTAAGACAAGGGTCCATGGGGAGCCACCCAAGGGGTCACTGGGTTGAGAGTGAATTGAGGGCAATCCAGGATTAACTGGCGAAGCTCCGGGATGGTAATTCTCTTAGAGGGATCACACTCGAAAATGCGGCTCAAGATGCAAACCAGGTCATCTGACAAGGGCAGAATGGATTTGAGGAAGAAAGGATCCTTGAGATAGGCCCGGAATGTGGAGTCCTCGATCGAGGCACGTTTCCATGGGTTGCGCCCGCAAGTGAGGTTGACCAGAATCACCCCCAGGCTCCACACATCATTGGGGGCCGACGCATAGCAAGACAATGGTCGAGGATTCGGCTGCTGGCATTCTTCAGTTGGTAGTAAGTCAGCCGAATGAACGCAATAAGTAGACATTTGAGTAAGGTAAATTACCTGGAGACATATAGAATGTGGAACCGCAACCAAAGTCCGAAGTGAAATAATCCGTGGTAGCAAGGCCAAAGTCGGCCAGTTTGACCGTCAGGCCCTGATCGGTCACCAAGATGTTCTCCGGCTTGAGGTCCCGGTGGTAAATTCCTAATGAGTGGCAATACTGGATGGCATCCAGGATCTGGAGAAAGACGCGTTTGACCAAGAGATCATTGCCCACAAAGTTGCCCTTTTCGGTGATGCTGGAGAACAGGTCACCCTCGGGGCAGAACTCGATGACCACATAGGTACAGTCGACGGAATCCATTATACGAACCAGGGAAACCACATTGGGATGTTGGCTGGCCAGATGGTGGAGCTTGATCTCGCGCTGCTGGAACTTGAGCTGCCGGGCATCAAGTCCGACCTTGTTCAGTGCTTTGACGGCATACACCACATTGGTGTGGATGTCGACGGCCGTGTAGACCACGCCGTACGCACCAACTCCAAGAATGCTTGTCAGTTCCAGCCGGTTGGCCAGAAGATATCCCAGACGGTCTTCCGGAGCATAAGCACGGGTAGTGGGAGGAGAAGGCGGAGGAGTTGGAAGCATTGTGGGATACATGCCGAAGGGATTTGGGGAGAGCATTAAGGGCAGATGTGATATAGAGGGTAGAGACTGTGGAAAGGATGCACAGGGATATGCAGCTTTCCAGCAGGGTAAGAATGTGTTGTAGTGGGTAGTCCGCCGACTGATGGGAGCGTCCTTAATGGTAAGATCCAAATCCAAACGGCCTGGTGGTAACGGTGATATCCAAAAGGGAGAGTCGTTCAAGGCACAAGGGATATTTATTTTTCGACTCAAGTATCCATTGGAAGAAGCAGGATGGTTCCAAGTCTAGTCCAAAATCCTAGGGAATGGTCTGTGGAGGAAGATGTTGTTGGTGGCTTGTTATAGCGGTAGCAATAGATGTTGTATGTGCTTGTTGGTGTTGCACTGCCTGAACCCACAGAGAGATTGGGGGTTGTGGAAGAGATGTTGGAAGATTATATCAATGGTCGACTGTTAAGGAAGAGAGCTGTCTTGAAGAAGAGAAAATATATCCAAAATAATATAACAAAAAACACAGAAGGAAAAATGAATAGCAGAAAGAGCCCACGCAAACTAGAAGACGAAATGGAGATGAAGGGAGGTAAGTATAAGGGGAAGAGGGGATACGATTTATGATGATCAGAGAAGGCGATAGGGGACGGCGGAGAGGCGAAAATAATAATAATGGAAAAAGGAAAAAAGTAATAATCCAGATGTTAAATAATGATCAATAATAATGCACTAGCATAGCAGCGCTAAACGTGTGGAAATAACACTTATTTAGATATGAGCACGGAGTGGACAGGCTCAGGCTCAGGCTACAAGCTACAAGCTACAGGCCTCGTGGCCTGGACAATGTTATGGGTCAATAGTCAGTTAGTCACAGAGTAATAGTGGCCACCATCCTTCCCCTAAGAGAAATGGAATCTTCGATCCAACAGCCAAAGCCCACCCGTAACCAACCACCGCCGCTAAGTTTAGATAACGACTAATAATAATCCTAGATAGTCGCAGGCGATGTGTTAGCTGGAGCAAAATACGACAAGAGGAAAAGGCAAAATAAATCGACCAACGTAATGGGGCAGTTACATTAAGCGCAGGGCAAACAGTGAGCGTGGATTGGAAGAGGTGACCTGAGATGTGGGGATTCGCCCCCACCAGACTAAATATGTATGATGCTTACACTAGGCGGTTTAGGGTCCAGCTTCAGGAAGGCAAGGAAGGGGGCGGGAGCAATCAGGGAGCAATCAGTCTACTACTAATCTTGGTGCTGAGTAGGGGGAGTACGTAGGTAGTCTAAACAGGTAACTATCAGCTTGAGCACTGGAACCGACCAGTCCGCGTGTCTCCAGCACCGACAGAAGGCAAATCTGGTTCTTGGAATCATCCAGCCGAGAAGGACTGCACTGCTTATCATAGTTCAACTCTAAGTCAGTCCAACGAGCTACAATAGGTAAATTAGACTAGTAGCATTTTCAAGTTTCAAGATCCAGGTTCTGAGGCACAGGTGCTACGAAACAATTGCTGGGGAGGCAAAAACTTGTGTCTCAAATGTGCGCAAGTGCGTGGAGAGACACCAAGAGATCCCGCTCCGAACGATGATGTCCTCAAGCGTCACAAGGCCATAACTGATTCTCTCTGCCATATCGTTTTTAGCTCTTATTAGATAGACTTGTAGGTACGTACCTAGTTGGGAGATGGCTGCACCTATCAAGTCCGAGATGCTCCCATGATAGGTTGAGACCAGAGAGGCTAGCCTCCGTCTGGATCCGAATGATGGCGACAACACCGGTTGCCGTGGCTGTACAAACTCCAGAACCACAGAAAGGACTCGATCCGCAGATCCTTTTGATTATTTGCTGTTTGGCCTAGTAAATCCTGATGGAGGCGGTGAACGGTGTGACAGGTACACCTAAGCTATGCAGATTAGTCCCACCCATACCTACCTGCAGTGGCGCAGTTCCATCATTGGCTGAATACGGAACCCCATGGATGATGCATCCGCGCTGGGTGTTGTGATTGGAGCATCTTCCAGCAGGATGGCGATGGTAATGGAACGCCCTGTTGCCTTGTCTTTTTTTTGCAAGTCATACGCAGGAGTGTTCCTTAGGCGCCACTACTGGCCAGCTTTACCTACGAACAGAGCCTTGGCGATTGTCTCAAGGATTAAGCCTCATGGATCAATGGTAATCTCATTGCCCTGGAGTCTGGAACTTCGAATAGGAGATATTCGTAAGGTGAGAATGGGGTTGACCCACTATTTCCGTTCATGATGATGAAGACCATACCCATGGCCTTATTTGATGATCCTGCTGTTGCGGCTGCAGCCTAGATGGCTATGAGATACTCTTTTTGTGCATATACATCAACTTGGATGTACTACTCAAGTACTACAGTGTACGAACTTGCGGTGTTTGCCAGCTCAATTCCCCACAGTCACGGTCGAGATTGAAGACTGGACTCTGTTGACCTGGTCTAGAGTCACTTACGATTTGCCAGTCAATCAAGATGGAAACTAGCGGAGTGAGAAAGGAGAGATACCAAATCAGTAACCCCCCCAAAAGCAAAACAAGTCAGATCCAGCCACTGGGGGCCGCCCATGAATCACCACTCAAGCCAAGCAGGCATGTCCTCCTCCCCGGCAGAGATATTCCGGACTCGGATATGATATGCGCTCGCAATAAGAGGACAATTACACAATTAGCTGGTTGAATCTCGTGGTGGCCAATTCTGAAGTCATTGACGGACAGACACAGTAGGTAGTGGAATGATGATGAACGAGACTATGGACTATCTAGGTGACAATCAAACCTTCCACACACCGTCTTTCTCCTTCCCGATCAACGAGGAAGAAAGTCTAAGACCCCAACATGCTGAAACCTTGTTCCTCCTGGTTGGTTCGAGTGGACAGAGCACCAGAACTGTAGCTGGGTAGGTAATAATGGCAAAGTGAGGCAATCATGGAGGGCCGCCTTGACCAATGATTAGCCCAGTTCGTCCGTTTCGAGAACGCCCAACCCCAGCGAATGACAGCAACGAGAGTTGATGATTGGCTCTTTTGTTGCCACGTTTGCTGTCCGTGAGTTGCTGGTGGAGACGCCCAGATCGGAGGAGTGGAGCATATTGGCTGTGCTTATGCTACACACCGAGTATTGATCCACCTGGTCGCATAACTTGTCAAAGCAAGGCGTCCATTCCGTGTCTGACAGTCTGCACGGAATATGGAAGGATCAATGCCTTGTACAGAGTACAGACTACGGAGTGTTAAAAGCACCTGGTGCACAATGTTCCCCTCATTGGGACCAGGGCACATACCGCGCCACAAACGGGACGACATATGAGCACCACCTTTGTGGGCAGCGTAGGAGTGTTGGTTGCCAGGAGCCTACAGCCTACCTGACGGCTTGGGGCCGATACTAATGCGTTGGGTCTACCCTGGTCGATGTAGGCTCGTGTGACAGGTCTTGAAGCATCTGGTGCAACGGGCTTACTACTTTTTCGACTCCCACGTAGGAACTGGTTTCCCTGGTTTCCACTGGCTATCAGAGTATTCAGTATATCAATTACACCTGTCTGGCGTCTTCTCATCAACGAGAAGGTCCAACTACATACCCAGGACGCACACCTGCCGAAAGTTGGAAAAGGGATGTTAAGAGAAAAGAAAGGACGCAAGGCTCTCAATAAGTAAAAGAAGGAAACTAGAGAAGAGACGAGGAGTGGAGAGTGAAATGAAGCAACACTGTTTTAAAGGAAGAAGGGAAAAAGATCTGTACCGTTATTGTCATTAATAGATGGGGTGCTCTTCACAGCCAGACAATCTGATACATATTAGAATCAACTATTCCCAGCCACCATCCTATCAGTACAGAGCAACGATGTACCCCAGACGATCATGCATCCCACTCTACTCTGTGCATGCATACCTATCTCATACCCCGTAGTGTCCGTCATGTAGGCCTAGGAACAATGGCCTAAGTACCTACATACTGAGTAAGATTCCCTAAAAGCCAACACCACCAAACCAGCAGCAAGGGCTAGATAGAATATCACCAGTCCTAACTCAACCCGCTGTCTAACTGATCATCTTCATACTCGGCAATGGAGGCTACAGCGTCATCATCCCCGCAAACCCACTGCATCCATCTGCTAGTGTATATACTCTGAGTATATTTATTCTCCGCGCTGTGTACTGTGTGGTTTGCTAAGTATACCACTGCTTTGTCTCCACTGTAAACGGCCGTCAGACGTCATTGTCTGTTACACTTTTTTCCAATATTGACACCCTTCATCAACTACTGCTTAGAAAGTACAATAGGTATTGTGATGGACAATGTGCCGTGTGGATCGACCCTTCGATTGTCTGTGGTGTCTGATGCTTGATGCTCTACGCCCGTGGTTTGCCACCGCCCTTCGATATCAATGTCCAATGTCATCATCATTCCTCCGATGCCTCCCCAAATCGGATGGAATTCATCTTGCCCTCGCCCGTCCTGGACAGCGACAGGTAGCCATGCTCCGTGGTTTGCCAGCCTATCCTATCCTCATGATCTACATATTTTTGTCGAGTTTTGTGGCCAAATGTATTGGCAATCAGTGGCAATGGCCAAAGACCATGGTGCTGCCCGATCGTCATCTAGGGTTGAACCAATTCCCGCCTCGTAAGTCGTAACGGCTATCAAACCTACTCTGTTGATTGATCGTTCGATCATACTACTCTCATTCGATGATCAGGATGATCGGGATACTCAATTCAATGCGCATGCCTGAATAAAAGCCTACTGACGCCAATTTCATGCCAGAAAATACCGCGTAGTATATACAATCACGTAATAGTATGTCGCAGTTGTGACACCCCCCAAAGCCGCAGCCTATGCCTTGGGCCGCGCAATGAACGGATGCCTCAACGCTTCAGCCGGCGTGCACCGCTTCTCCGGGTTGAGACTCAGGCAGCGGTCCAACAGATCCATGAACAGCGCCAATTCTTTTGCCTCACCATCCGTCATTCCTTTGGCGTTTTTGCC